TTTTTTTCTTTTTTTTTTTCTTTTTTTAATCTTCCCACCCCCCCAGTTGTTGGAATAACGTCCTTCCTTAAGCTGCATATTGCCTTCAGCGCTTTGCTTTGTGAGCTGGTAAAGACACAAGAGAGCTTCCCCTCAGGGTCTCGGTCCTCTTTTATGGGCTGGTGGAGGCCAAGTCAGAGACTTGCGCTGAACTTCATCGTATTGCTTCTGAGGGGTCTGCTCCAGCCGAGGTGGAGTGTCAGTTGTTCCCAGGCCCTTCAGGCTGATTTGTTGACCGTCATGTGTGTCGTGCCTGGCTTCGTGAGAAACAGCAGCAAATCGGTTTGACTATTGGGTCTGTTGGATAATCTGTTCAGAGAACCATGGCCTGGAGCTCCAGAATGTGTTGTTCCAGTTATTCCTCTCTCTTTTTTTGAGATCCAGATAGGTCGTATGACACCATAATGCAATCATAGCATCAGTTGAAACAGCACGTAGTAAATATATTGGCAACATGCAATAATGTTTTTATACAGAGAAACACCACTTGGTATCTTATGCTGAAACCTTTTTTCTGTTTTATTGCTGGTTCTCATCTGTTCAGTTTCTTTGAGACTTGAATTCTTGAATAACTTTCTGAAACGTGCATATTTTACAGACCTGAACCTACGCTATGTTTACACTTTCCCGAAGTGTGTTTGATCTTCTGGATTTAGAAATTTCAACCTCACTTGAAGTTTTCAGCTTGAGGTGCAGTTTTTGATACAGCTTTTCTTTAAAGGGTAGGCAGAGGAAAAAATAAATAATGGGATCAAGGCACACATTTGCAGCAGACAGTACAAGAGTGAACTCCTTTGCGTAGAACAGAGTTGGTTTTGACTGGCAGTTGAATTGTGAGCTAGTTTGACTTAGAGTGTATGGTATTCTGCAGAGGTGATAGGGTACAAAGCAAATGACAAATACAAACATGATACTGAATATATTACGACTGGTTTTTCTCCTGGTCACATCTGAGTTCCTTCTGAATTTTTTATAAGAGCTATATACTTTTTTTGATATAGAAGTGTAAAAAATGATTAGCAGAAGAAAAACAACCCAGAATATCCCCGTGCAAATAAAACTTGATGCGTTGTGCCACTGTCTGCCAAGCTCACTTTTAAGATCTATACATTTTCTGGAATAATTTTCTTTAGTGATTTCATTAGTTAAGATCATATTTGGAAATGATATAAGCATTAACAATAACCATATGATTATAGAGACCACCTTACTGTAATTAACCGTGTGAACAAAAGAGGTGAATAAAGGCTTTACAATTTTGTAGTATCTGTCAAAACCTATGAAGCCAAAAAATGTTATCCCGATATACATGTTTGTATAAAAAACAACAGCAGAGTATCTGCATACAAACGCGTTGAGCTGTGGAGGTGCAATTTCTGAATCGGCAAGAATTTTGAAAGGAAATGTCAAGCTCATTAGGAGATCGGCAACAACGATGTTTTTGAGATAGACAATAAAACTCTTTTTGCTAGAAACATACAGAAAGATCCATGCTGCCACACCATTCAGCAAGAGTCCTACTATGAAAATTAAACAGTAGACCAGGGGAATGACCGTCTTAGTTATTACTGTGCTGTGACTGCAGTTGTTTCCCGAGGAGTTTGTGCTGGAGTTGAACATCTTACAATATCTTTGTTCCTATAAGCAGAGAAAGATTATCTCAGCAAGATAAACTGGTGCTATGCTTTCCATGAATTAGTATAAGATTTCTACTCTTACTTCAAAATAAACTTGGCATACTTCTCAGAAATCGCCACATTATCATTTCCAGCAGGGATGCATAGTAAGTATTTTCCAAGTGGTGCCATCTCACTTCTTGATGATGTTCAAGGGCATACTGCTGTTTTGAGCAGAGAATCCATTTGCTTCTCTGCTTGACTTTAATCTGCTGTCTTCAAGCCCTGTGCTGCCCCTTTTCTGCGGGTATAAGCCTACACACTGCCAATTAGGAGGGGGACTGAGCCACAGTGATTTTGTGACTCTGAATACATCTTATTAACCCTTAAGGACCAGTATGTATTTTTAGCACTGGTTTACCAGGAAGCATGTGAGGGATATGAATATTCCTTGTACAAGTGTTCTGTTTTGTATACAGGCATAGAAAACACTCTTCTGTTAGGCGTGGAAATATCTAGTGTATGCCAGTATTTTCTAATGTTCACTTGAAGGAAAGCCTTATGTGCAGCTAGCACAGTTTGCTTTAAACTTTTAGTAGCACAACATACAGGAGTGTGTCTGTGTGTTAGCATAATGTAGAAGCTAGAGCTGTCCTCCGAAGTCATTCAGATTTAAATTTTAGAGGATCTCCAAGAAGAAATCACATCTGCTATCTGCTTTTCTTTGACAGAATGTTTACGGGGGTGGATTATCCTCTGTAGGAAGGGCAGAACAGATACAGATACAATGCTGCTGTATTTGGCAAATGAAAACCTAGGCAACTGGAAAACACATGCCATGGAGCTGGGAAAAAAATCCACCCCGTCTTTTAGAAAATAAAGAATTTCCTTATTGCCACAATTCAGAGTTGGTAGCTGATGCCTCCGTGTAGCGGATTGGAACCTGAATGCAACGTTGAATAACTAGAAATGGAAATTTTCTTTTAAATAGCTAAAATTGTTTCCTTTGGTATATTGTTGTCTGTATCTCTCTTGCAGAGAGGCAAAGGCTGACCAGCTTAGGTGCTGTTCTGGAACTTGCATGGATAAGTGGAGCAATGGAGCAGGTGTTACCCGCGTTCACAGCCGAAGCCTGCGGTTAATCTCTTCCTGGTAGTTCTTCCGTAAGAAGACCTGCCATCCTATCTTTATGTTTAAGCTCTAGTCATCACAGCATTTGTTTTTGTTGGTTGGGTTTTTAAAGGAGGAAGATGGTGTGGAGTGCTGGTGTTATAACTACCATGTGAATAGGTTAGGATTAGGAGGTGATAATGGGTAGGGTTTGGGGTGATACTGCTAAAACTAGAAGGATCTCCACTTTTCCCTCTGTATCCTTCAACCATCCACTCAGACAATTGGAAAGCACCAATAATGATTGACATTTTTATTTAAGATGGTAACGCTGTATTTGAAAACACTTCTTTTCCCGCTGCCAAAGTCCAAGCTAGGCTCTGTAAATCTTTCCGTATCAGTGGCTCGTCCTTACCTTTCTTGATTTGACTTCTGTGGTGCTTTTTCTTAAGAGTCCAGAGCGCCTTCCATTCTCAGGCACAGGGCCTCTTCTCTTGCTGGGAGACCTATGCGAGAGACAGGAGAATACAGTTGTTAGAGTTGTGTACCATAGCACAGGACAGCGTAATTCTGCGGTGCGGAGGGGTTCCCACAGTGCAACGCCTGTTTAGATTGTCTCATGATCAGTTCTGCTCAGCAGGACTTCAAAATTAGTTAAGGACAGAGTCACAGAGCAGTCATGTTCAACCTAGAGCCCATCACTGCATGGGTGAGGCTGGAGGCTTTTGTGTCCCCCCTGCCATGCATCACGTCATTTGTGTTCATGATCAATTTCATCTGCTCTTTTTGTCACCTAGGCACACACTCAGCTCTTTCCGAGAGGCCTTATCCCTACTGCTCTGAATAATTCAGCATTGATAGCGAACACTGCCACCTCGCTAGCCTGTTCCCTCCATCAGTCGTGGGTCCCAGTGTGGATCCTGTAGGAGTTGTGGCCATGTGGTAGCACGGGGTCTAACTCCTATGCTCTGGTAAAGAATCAGTCTAGCTGAGCGGCCTTCATGCAGCTGCTTGGTGCTTCTGGATCCTCATAACCACAGCCACCGCGATGGCTGCACCCCTCTGCTGATTCGTGGATTGCAGAGATGGGTTGCATGTAGCTGGCAGAAGGCATGCTTCCACTTTATAGAGGAGCTGCCCTTTCATGCTTGTTCTGGTTGCATTCTTGTTCAAGCTGCCCTTAAACCTTCATAATGAGAACACCCTCTTCTCTCATGAGAATGTGAGAACTTGCAGTGGCTCCACCAAGTGATATGCGGCTTGAAATGAGCATAGATATTCACCCCCTCATTCCACGTGGGGGTTCATCTGGAAACTGTGAATACTCCTCATTTGACATTAAATGGTGGGTCAATTTAGGACCTTTTTGTCCAAATGCTACTTAAGGTGATGACTAAGCTTAAGGATTCCTTTTTCCTTTTTTCCTTTTCCCCAGTTCTTAAAACATTGCTGGTTCTTTTGCTGCTGCATAACTGCTGCTATTTGCTGGCATGTGTTGGAGGGTTTGTATTAGCACCCAGCAATTTGTGATTTGTATGTGAGAATAGCCTTTCATACTTGAACAGCATTTCATGTTCAAATGCTTGGTCCAGCATAAAGTATATTTATTCCATGTAAATAATATCAACTAGTTGTGCAAAACCAGCAAACTTGGTTCACCAAGTTAGCAAGATTGATTTAGTAAAATACATGAAAGTTTTGAACTTTCTCAGTTTGCAAATCATGTTGGCTTGGCAAAATACACAAAAGGAAAGTTGCATAAACTATTAAAAATGCTTAATTCTTTATGTATTCAAACTCTTATGATATCATTTGTGACCCTTCCAATATCATTAAGGCACTTTTTCTTGACTTCTGTAACTTGGCTGTCAAATTTCAAAGTTCATGGCTGCTTTACTGAACATAAGAATAATATTTACAAGTTGTTTTTTTTTTTTACCCTGAATGTAATGAAGGTTCTGTAGTACCGAGTGCACATTTTAGCTATTTATGGAAATTAATGCAGCTGCTTGATAAATATGCAATGCAATTACTGGATCAGGAATTGTTGACAGTGGTCACTGTCCCCAGAAATCTTTTTTGAACTGCAAAATGGAGTTTATCAGGGAAGAAGATCACGCCAAATATTATCTCTGATGTAATGAAAAATCTAGAGAAAGAGGAAGCGCAATACACTAAACACAGCAATTGTGAATTGTGCTGAGTTGTGCTAAAAGAAAAATCTTTTTTTAAGACTTTCTTTCTAATGTGGTAGGAATATCGGTAGTGGTCTGAACTTGCGGTCCCGGCCATGCTGGTGTAATCCGGTTGGAAAGCAGCCCCCAGTTTGGACGCCTGTCCCTGGCCGCCGCGGTGCGAGCTGCCTGCCCGCTCTCCGGAGCTCCTGCTCTGAGCAAGGTGCGCGGGCGGCCGCTGGCTGGAAACCCCCAGGGCAGGCTGCTCTGGGTCTCCTTGGGGGGCTTAAAAGGGTGGAGATGTTCACTTGTTCGTTAGGAGCTGGACCAGCGGAGGGAAGTAAAAGCAGGGCCTGCCAGCTGTGATTTGCAGGCGGTGGGATCCTGTCTCTCCGTCCTCCGGGCAGCTCTCTGAAGGGGCTCAGCTGGGCCTTCTTGGGGGGCAGGGGCAGGAAGGGGCTGTCCAGGGGAAAGGCGTCTCCTCCTCGGTCGCCTGGGCATTCCTCAGCCGGTGCGTGCTCAGGGCTGGTCTGCTCCCTTTCTGCATCTCCGCAAAGGTGCCCGACCTGGCAGCCGGTGGGGTAGGTGCCAGGGTGGAGACATTCAGGGTCCGTGGTTGTAATTGCTCATCTCCTTTGGAAGGCATTTTTTGCAGTGACTGTGGAGATATGTTAGTATGTTTAACTTCTTGCAAGTTTGCCAAGAGGCTAAGATTTCGTTATTTTTCTGTTCTTATTATAACATTTGTCATAGGGCAATGTCTGGATTTTAATACTTCAGAGAATAAAAGTATGCAAAATACACTACGTACTATTTCAGCCTTTTAAAATGGCATGTTGGGTGGTAGTTGTTTGTCATACATGCATAGAACGTAGTGGAGGAAAATGGGAGGAATAGTCAAATTAGGATGATAGAAAAAATAAAATAGCTTCCTGTCGCAGGCAGTAGTAAGCAAGTAACCGTGAGATAGCATCGTACACGGTGGTGCTTAGTGCATGCTTCCTCTGGCGTGGCTCAGAGAAAAGGGCGATCGGTAAGTGTGGCAGTAACTTCTAGCGGGTGTCGGTTCCTTGCTGCTGTACCTTCCAACTCTTGCTTTCAAGACCACTCACGTCTTGTGTGAGAAGACAGAGGACTGCATGAGCCATGTTCCTACTCAGGCTGCTCATCGGGGTGCCGCTGAGAGTAGTGTCCTCTGTGGAAGTGGCTGAGAAGGGCCGTGTGTCCCCTGAAGGTCCCTGCTGCGACTCATGGTCCCGATGAGTAGCAGTGGCTCCTGCCGACCCAGGCGAGCCTGGGTAACGCTGCGGCTATGTCCTGTCTGCAGCTACGGTTAGTAAGGGGAAGAACAGAAGTGTAAACAACTCTTTACATCTTAACAGTACTTTTCACTTCGGGATAAATTAAAAAAGGCAAAATTTGGGATATTCTAGTGCAGAGGTAGCAATTGGTGGTGGAGAGAGGTATTTTTTCATGCTATGGTATTTTATTTACAAACTCCTGACTTCCCAAGCATGTGATGAATCAAACAAAAAGCTGGACTCGCACCTCTTCTGACTCACAATGCCGTCCCTTGGGGCTTTCTTAAGATCGCGTGCCAGTCCTGGTGCTGCTGTCAGGCCTTGTGGACTGTCTGCCTTGTGTACTGTCTTTTTCCTCCTGTGTGCATCTCATCCTCAAGCCCTATGCAGTCGCCCCTTCTGCCAGTGTCCCCACTTAG